AATCGATAAGAGAGGACTCCACCCTGTTGCTAAGTACAATACCTACCCGGCACTGACCCACTGAGCGGGCTTCGTCGTCGCCTGGTGTGCGAAGAACGTATCTCGGAGACAAATCTGGCGCGCTCAAGTGGCTTATAGTAATAGGATCCTGGATCCGACTTTCCGACACGCAACAAGTATCGATCCCTAGGGATTCCATTTTTCACCCTAGACAAGCTTGTTGACATACCTACACCAGGGTCCTCACGTTGAAGACCCCCAGATTCAGTGATTGATGAGGCTTTCCAATCTGCAATTAGTTTCGAGATACAATACTGATAGTGTTATTTGGCAACGACCTTAGGCGAGCGATATCCAAGTTGCTTGAGGGACTATCACAGATCGGAAGAAGGGGAAAATCGAGAGGGTTGGGTACTGAAGACAAAGAATAAAACAAAGGTTGGAATATCTGAGCAGTAGCCCACTTATCGCTACCCACCCTGCTTGATGCAATGGGCAGCGCGGTCCTGATTATCCTGCGCGACGACCGATGTAGTCCGGAATTATTTGTAATTTGTGTATGCATTGGGGTTTGATGAACGGGTTCTGCTAGGGTGTCCAGCCACTAAGCAGGAGAACGATTAGGGTTCTCAACCAAAGCCTTCAGTCCGAAGAATAACCTAGCCGCAAAGCAGCGGGTGAAGCGAAGTAAAGGCCCATTTACTTGGATCAATTACTCCTCTACCATTTTTTACGGACTAAAACGCAAATTCTAGTCGAACCCCCAACCTGGTGGGTCAGGAGAATGGATTTCGTTTGACCTCTACCCTTCAACCTTCCAGGCATGATTAGATCTTCGGCTTGACAAAAGCCATCCTGTGTAGCTCGTTGGGTCGGAGAGGTGCACAAGCCATCACACCACGTCAAGGTGCAGTCTCGTAATGGTGTGCAAACTACCGGGGTAGCCGCTTGCCGGACGTAGCTAAAAAAGCTCTCTCCCAACTCTTACTGAATCCCTTCGCCATAGCGAAACACACACACAGCCCAATCAGAGGGCTTTTCCTCCCCTCACGGAATGCATTCCTTGGAAAACTCCGAAACACCATCACAAATACCGGCACCCCCGTACGGCACGCTTCATCGACTTTTCCGTCGGATTCTACTCAGCAGACCGTCTGTCATTGTGGAAGACAGTGCTTGTCGAGCTGGTTAACCAGATGATATCCTATTGTGTCAGTATGAAAGCTCGTATTCGTACGTACGGCAAAGAGTCCCATCTGTTCGAACTGAGTTCGGTGTCATTCAACTTCGCTGGTCATAACTCAGTCGATGAGAGACCACCAAAGGCTTCAATTTTCCACGGACTGCTAAATCACTGATCTTAAATTCGCTGACGACGTATTAGTGTTCGGGGAGGACATGATCACCTTGCAAACAGACCTTAGCCGCCCCAAGGGATACGCTTTGGAAAATGACCTGGAGATCAACGCTACCGAGGCCAAAATGTTGGTGACACCCCCTGGTCCTGCGAGACGAGTCCTATAAATTCGAGTACCTTGAGCCATCCTACCCAACAGAAGCCGAGGATAATGTTAAGTGGCGTATACACGCAGTTCGCACAGCGTTTCTACAGCACGGAAATGAGATCAGTCTCCTAACTAAGTTCAGGATGTTTACCATAACAGTCTACCCAGTCTCACTATATAACTGCGAAATATAGTCATTGAGAGCTGAGGACATCAAATGTTGCCTCAGATACATGTTGAGAGTAATCTGGGACAACAGAATTTCGTCGGTGACAAACCAGCTGAATCGACACGTGCAAGGACCTTGCTGCCGATCGCTGGACATGGGTAGCTGCAATCCGAGATATTCATGGAGCCAGTGTAGTAAACCAAGACGCAACCCTCAGGGAAGAATAATTTAAGATGTTCTCCATTAGGTTGAGATCTGGGTCGCACGTAAGTCGCACCATGACTTTAATATCGCGGCGCAATAAATAGTTTCTGGTCAGATTTGATTTGTAAGCTACGGCATAACCTGCTGAAATACTGCATTCATCTGACCATTCAAATCTATTAAGGCAGTGGATAGCGCTCCGATGCGTGAATGTAAACATTATAATCTTGAGCTCGTCGAATAACGAGGTTGCTCGAAGAATGAGTTCCACGTTCACCGAACTTCTATCGTTGGACTGTCCATTTCGGTATTGTGCTTCCTTCCTTCCTTCCTTGTCCAAGTTGAAGTTCCCTTCATAACTGAAGTGGACCCATTTACATTTATCCTGACATGTAACACGAGTTTCAGCCCAAAACAGATCTGTATTTGAAGTGTTATGAGGGCTATTTTTTCACTCTCTTGTGCTTGATCCATCATACATCCTCTAATGTTCTTTCTATTTTTCACATTGAATCATTCATTTCCATCGCTTAGATTGATCCCGGGCTTTTCACCCAGGAAGCTTATACTTATATATTTCACACACGTCTGATGCCAGACTGTGTCAAACAAATCGTGGTACAATAATCTTTATAAAAAGAAAAATGCTCCACGATTTGCAAGTGGGCCGAATACTGCTAGGTTGCTCAGGCCAAGGCAGGTGAATTTTCTTGTGGAATCCACAACCGGAGCCTTTGTCTAACCAAAACCTGACCCGCCAGGCAACGGGGCGATGTGCAAAAACCGTAATTCATTGGGAGCCGGTGTCCAGTTCATCAGATCATTCGCCCTTCGAATGGAGTCAAACGTCCAAGGTGCCCAATACACCTCGATGCCCAATCGAACCGGTGACCATTGCCACAACCGGAAAGGTGTGGGTGTGGTTCGTACGCCTCCTCTTGGTTGGTTTGGAATCAGGGTTTTTAGCCAACTCCCCTAGGTGAGTTGCCAGTGGTTCACCAACCCGGTTATAGCCCCGGATATCGGCTTTTCGTCTTCTCACTTTCGTGCCAANGGACTTCCTCAGCAGAGGCTATTTGAGACGCTTGGTCGTATGGAAGCATTTCGCAAGGTGCAAGGGACTGGTAACCAGCCACAACCCTAGACACCCACCCCCAACCATACTGCGGATTTCGGAGGCTTAGCGCGACCTATTTGAGCAAGTTTCCCGATCAGGGTTTTCATACCCCCGTATCAGGTCTTAGTTTGACCTCCCTTGACTTTGTTCCACCCATCACTCGCCACGACAAACATTGCGCCATGGTAACCGATTTGGTGGCATGCGTAACACGTCCCAACCAGCTTAATCTATGGAATTCACTCACTTACTCCCGTGGGTGGTCGCGATGACCTAAAACTTCGCGCCTAACCTCGGCATTGGTTGTCCAATTACCAAACCAGATTCTTGTATTGCGGCGTAGACAGCGGTGTTTGAACACCAATAGTTTATCTTTATTCCGTTTTTGATGTGGCCAAGTTTCTGCACTGTACAGCAGCACTGACCGAAAGGCTCGATCCTTTACAGGTAGCCGGATGTTGCAACACTGCCATAGATATTTCGAGCTGACAGATATCAACCGTGCATTCGGTATGCGAGCCGACATTTAGTCCAAAATACGTTCGTCGGGTGAGATATAGCTACTCAAATAAAAAATTATCCATTTGCTCTGTTACTATCCCAGTTACTGGCAGCGAATAACTTGATCCGGCTGATTTGGACCTTGTTAGCGAGTTTCGAGGTCTCAAAACGCGTGATAAAGACAGCTAAGTTCAGATGTTTGTACTTTCCCTACTTCAGTTTTCTATCACATGAGTTTACCCTAGGCAAGCTTACTCTCCCGTCCTGGGTTGTATTAAGAGATGTTTTGGTAATGTCCAAAATGTATGTCAAGGTTTCGCCTCGGAATGATCGCTCTGCGCCTAACAAAATTGCTTCATTTGAAATGAACCCGCGGACAATATGACGTTATAATTTTACATTTTTGATCACTTTTTATTCAATGTTCAGAATTTAGAATTTTCGTTTTGGCTTTTTAGTTGATTATTTTAACGATGTCTAAAATATTTGTTCTTTTCCTAACAGGTGAGAGATACTGTGAAGACTTAGGTGTATGGTTAAGTTACCTCAAAAATTGCTTATAGTATGCGAACTTGATTTTTTTGCGTTCATTTTTGAGGGCGCTAAGTATATTCAAGGAGATGGAATTGAAAAGACAGGAATGACAGTGCACACGGATGAGGGTGAAACTTTTATCTGTGGAGTATTTGTGCACCAAATTGGACATTTCCAATTGTCTTAACTGCTGAGTGTTGACCTCCTGAAAAACATGCATCAACAATCCGTTTGATTTTTCGATTTAAAGAACTGTCCTGTTATATTTTGTGATTTAAGATTCACCACTTTCAACAGTTTTCTTCAAATAATTTGTAGATAAATTTGATATTTTTGAACCAATAAAACCCGACCGTAATAGCGCCGCCTGCTTTTGAAGACCATCGCTTATTTCTTTTGCTTCATACAGTTAGCTCAACTGGAACAATCTTTCCAGACGTTTTATGTATGTACCGCGGTGCGCAAGTTTTTCTTCTTCCTTGACCCCCTTCGAGCGGGCCGTGTCCGGATCACAGATATCTTGGCCAGCGGATTTCTCGACTCCATGCTCGAACTGCGTGAAACGGAGACAACCGAGGCACAATTGGCCAATAATTGGTTCAGTTTGCAATCGGCCATGAGAGTCTATGGTAGCTATTTACAGCTGGATGCTGACCGAAACGGAATGCTCACACGATCCGAATTATCTGGGTATGTTGTCTTTTCTTCCTTCGTTGCACATATAGGATTCTCCCCAAATCATCCTTATTCCACTAGCAGATAATAGATAACACTAAAGCCGTTGAGTTCAACTGGTAGATAAGACTAAGCTTAACTGGTGAAGCATCATAGGACGAATACATTCTACAATTCAGCTTTTTGTTACATTCTCCAGGACGGTTTCTAACTCTGTCTCAGACAAAACCGAGAATCAATGTTGTTCTGGCGTAAGCTCAACAATGGCCATTGACCGGGTAAATCATTATATTTATACCTTCTGTAAGCCATGGTGCTGACAGATCAACAACAATGAAAAGGAGGGAATTGAGAAGAAATGGGGTTAATGTCGGGAAACGGATTATCATAGACGATAAGGACAAAAATAATGTTTTTTGTCCGTATCTTAGTACAGACTTCCCCCGCAAGCAATTCCGGTGGTCCATTCCCTGACATCATGGTTCAGTAGCAATAGTCCGGGCAGACCGAACACAGAAAGCATAAATAAACCTAGTGACTCCTTTTGGTTGAAAAGAATCATCGAAACTTCAGAAAACGTCCATTTTCGGAGCTTCCGTTTGATTCATAAGACGGGATTGACAGGCAAAATTCGCATCGAGCATTATCTCCCAATATGTTGCTATTAAATGCCGGGGGCGGGCTAAAACGCTTTGGATCACCTTACCACAATGCTTCACAATGACCCCTGAATATTCTTGATAGTATTGTAAACAACGGTGTTGATTGTTGTTTTTGTAGTTCCAATACTGTAACTTGATGTTCAGTTGTTCGTCGAGCCTGGTAATTAGATCGAAATCTAGGTGGCATTCTCACCGTATTGTCTGTATTGACTAGAACGAACTAGATAGTAAATATTCCATTGCAAATATAGAAACCATGGAAAAAGTGCGTAACAGATTTTCTTGGATTTAAACTCATATCAGATTGCGGTATTGTTAGTGAAGGAAGTTGGGTCCAAAAAGGGTTAGTGTAATACAACAGTCGACTGTAAAACGTACGAGACCGGCGACAGGAATGTGAAATGGCATAGAATAAATACCTCGTTTGGTGGGAAACTTTCGATTGGAGTTAACAGATAGTCACTTGTGTCTGCTTCGGTTACCGTCTGGCCAAAAGAAATGACTGGCCATCATTGAAGACGACATCCGATACAGCAATATTTAGTTCAGCCC